GAGTGAAATAAGTCAGTCACAAAAGGACAAATACTGTATGACCTCACTTATATGAAATGATGAGAATAAGCAAATGTATAGAGACCAAAGTTTATTAGTGGTTACTAGGGACAGGAGGGAGAGGGAGAGGGGGAGCTGTTATTTGGGAAGCAACGAGTTTCTACTTACGGTGAGGGGAAATTCTGCATTGATTAATGGAAATGGTTGCACAACACGATTAATGTAACTGATATCACTAGGTAGCATACCTAAAAAAGTTGAATTGGCAATGTTGTGTTACAAATATTTTTACAACAACAACAGAAAGAGCAGCTGCTGATGCTGCTTATGTACAAACAAACAACTCATGCGGTTTGTTTTCTTGTTTTAGTTTAGGGACATGGCTTCATGGGACAGTCCAGTCAACTGCCCTAATATTATTTTTAGTGTTTCTGTTCTCCCTCCTAGTTCCTAGTGCCTAGGGTCTTAGAAGCCTGTGAGAGGTCTCTATTTGCCTGGAGCAGCAGAGAAGAAGGAAAATCAGGAGGAATTGGAATGCAAGTCTAACTACCTCCATGAACAAATGCCTCCTTTTCCATGAAACCAGAAGTGGGTGGTGCTTGGCCATCATTACTGAACATCTTGATCAAAGATTCTATAGAAGAATCCTGATAAAAAGGGGAAAAAACCTGGGAACAGAATTTTAAATATGCTTGGAATCCAGACTTTCTGGAGCCATTGAGGCTGTATGACCACTGAAACTACTGCCCTGAGATAATCTTTAAATCTTAAACTGAAACTATCCCCTAAAATTGTCTTTAAAGCAAACAACAGCTTAGCCTAATTAGCAAAAAATATTTGCTGTGAGCACCGTGCTCTTTTAAAGAATTAACTATATGGGATCAAACTGACAACAACAACTCTAAAGACTAGAGAAGAAGCTTACATGATAGTGAGTTTATGTTAATAATGGTAGAATAATTTGGAAAAGGACAGCAAGAATGGTTGTACAACTTGAGGAATGTAATCAATGCCACTAAATTGTACATGCAGAAAATCTTGAATTGGTGTATGTTTTGCTGCGTATAATTTCACACACACCAAAAAAAAAGAAAAAAAAGTATGTCTGTTAAAGGCATGACAAGAAAACCCTCTCCAAATTGGTATTACCCACCCATTGCCATCAAGTTGATTCCGACTCCTAGTGACCCTGTAGGACCGAGAGAACTGCCCCATAGGGTTTCTAAGGCTGTAATCTTTACAAAAGCTGACTGCCACATCTTTCTCCTGCAGAGCTGCTAGTGGGTTCAAACTGCTGACCTTTCTGTTAGCAGCTGGGTGCTCAACCACTGCTCCACCAGGGCTCCTTAAATTGGCATTAAACATATACTATTTTCTCTATGACTGTTTTTTTGTACACTTGTCAGTTTATCATACTGTGGTGGTCTGCATGTTGCTATGATCCTGTAAGCTTTGCTACCAGTAGGGTCCTACATAGTGAACAGAGCTTGGAGACTAAGACTAGGAAGAAAGCCCGGACAATCTATCTGAAAATAGGACAAGCACTGCTTTCTTGGTGGTATGAGGACCTTTCAGGACCTTCATCTGCTAATCTGGCATAACTCAAAATGAGACGAAACAGCTGCAAACATCCATTAATAATCGGAACTTGGATATACAAAGTATGAATCCAGGAAAATCAGAAGTCTTCAAAAATGAAATGGGACATATACAGATCGATAATCCTAGGTATTAGTGAGCCGAAATGGACTGGTATTGGCCATTCTGAATAGGACAATCATATGGTCTGCTAAGCTGGCAATGACAAAACGAAGAGGAAAGGCATCACATTCATCGTCAAAAAAGAACATCTCAAGATGTGATCTGAAGTACAACGCTGTCAGTGATAGGATGATGCCCAAAGGCCTACAGGAAGACCAGTTAAAATGACTATTATTCAAATTTACGCACCAACCAGTAATGCCAAAGATGAGGAAATAGAAGATTTTTACCAACCTGGGGTCTGAAATTGATCAAACATACAATTGAGACGCACTGATAATTACTGGTGATTGGAATACAAAAGCTGGAACAAAGACGAGGACTGGTAGCTAGAAAATAAAGGCTTGATGATACAAACGACAAC